GTCACGTGACTGGCGGAGACCGACTGGGTAAGCAAATCGAGCGCGCCTTAGACCTTAGAGAAGGTGCGCTCGATTTGCTTACCCAGTTGTCCAGGAATGATATTAATATTATTAATAAGTATTTCGTGCGCACATTGAACTTATTGCGTGGCCACGAAGTAGTATTTTGTGCGCACGTTATACTTATTGCGTGGCCACGAAATACTACTTCGTGGCCACAATTAAACATTTTTTTTGACCATGTCATCAGAGGGGCTCCGTAGATAAACATTAAAAGTTTTGAAATCTCTGACAGCTTGTTTCTGTGTGCCCCAGGGTAGCTGTGGAAATGAGGAGCGTGCCACCCTCACTCTATGAATGACTGAATGAAGTGTGAAGCTAGAGTCTACTGACTTGAAAAATGTTCTATAAAATTACAGGCCATTTAGCATTCCCAAGTCATTGATCGCTCTGTTGAATGTAGAGGGTTTTTAAGAGCTCTGCATATTTGAACGTTTTTCTAAACTTCAGAAACTTTAGGGTGAGAGGTTCAGCTAGTGTTATGTCGCCACCAGTAGGGCTTCTTCAATGCTAGTAAACAGTGAAACATAGACACTGAAGATGGAGATTTTAGGGCCAACCTGTGATCAACTAAAAGCGCTAGTTTTAAAAGTTTGTAAGTATTCACCCGGGGAAAAGATGTCCACTGTGCTTCTGTGAGCTACACGAGTTACGTAAATGCAAAAATCATGTTTCACAAACAGAAAAAATATTGCAGATTTGTGTATTTATTCCTGAAATTGACACATTGCAAAGCAATATGAAGTGCAATGGTTTTCACATTTTGTATGTTTGGAGGTTAAGGTGATGTATTTTATAAAGTTAATGTCTATAAATTGAGCAAATCTTCCCAGTTAGGACAAAACATATCTGTTCCAAACCAAGCGCCTAAAATATTCTCTTGGAAATGTGACCTAATATATGTATATGTATCCTAATATATCACTTGTGTGTGATTTTTAATCGGGTACCATGTGCAATGTATGACAGATTTCTTATTTAAACTGTTGTTAGTCCGACAGCATACGTCGGCATACATTATTTCTGTTTTATAAAATAAAAAAAAATAAAAAAATAAAGTCACATAATGCAAAAAGGTAATACATGTTAATACCTGGGCTATATATCTAGGTTATAATCTTTATAAGTAATTTTTTAAACTGAAGTACTGCACATCAAACTGGATGAAAAATGGTTTTAAGCAGGTAAAACTATTGCAGTTTATCGATTAAAGTAATAAATCTGTCATAACCCTTAAAACCTTTTGCCCTAAATTTAGCTCAATCAAGCTTCCCTTCTGACTAACTGATCATTTTGATGAACTCTGTTGCAAAATTAGATTAAACTTAAGGACCTAAAACCCCAATCTGCCTGCTAAAAAGCACATATTGGAGATAACAAATCATTTATTTTCCCCAAATTTCTAAGTGCAGCCTGGCTGCCCCTCAAAAATCTTTTGCTCTCTGGCTGCCAGGAGATGCTACAGTTGAAGGTCCAGACACAGAGCTACAGTTGCATCAGGCCGGAAAAATGTTCGTCTCAGCGACCATAGGACTGTAATTACATAGAAGCACTGCTGAGCCTTGCAGGATAAACGTCAAGAACAGAGAGATGGGCTGAGGCGAACAAATAGGGAGGCGGAGAAGTGCAGTAAATGGTGGATATTTATAAAGTAACTACTGTCTTTAAATGTTTTCAGTTTGGGAGGAAAACATGAAAAAGCAGAATCAAAGTAAAACTGAAAGCTGCTGGAAATGTTTTATTAAGGTAGTAGACCTTAAGAGACCTGGTGAGTTGGATCAATATGTTTGGTTTCAGTTCCTTCTAACTTTGTTATGCATTTTAGGCTGTTCCAAAATCCCTGACAGGGCTAGCATGGTATGACTGACCCCTTGTGGAGCCAAAGGTTAGTGCCCGGAATAACAATATGGATGCAGTTGTACAAAAAATTAGTTTGTTTCCCTTCCATGTTAGTTTACTATTTTTTTAAACACTAACATTTATCCTTTTTAAACTGTATGTGCATTTTTATCAAGAGAATGTTCCCCCTTGTGAGAAACTTGCTTTTCTGCCCTACAGCTCAACTTGAAACAATCAGATTAATTGCAATTAATGGAATATTGAAATAACCGTCAACTAATTTAATAATCGATTAATCGTTGACTGGAGTATATAGACTCTAAGGGATGACATTTTCCTAAATTGTAAAAAATATATTAACGTTTTGCATATAAGATTAAACATAAATTGTATATCAATATGCTCTATAGCAGGGGTCTTCAAGGTTTTCCAGGCCAAGGACCCCCAAACAGAGGGCGAGATGGAGCAGGACCCCCAATTATACATATTGTATGAAATTGCTTTATATCAAACTGCTCCTATAGTCACTTTATTACAGATGAAGTAATGTGACAAAAGTTATTTCTCCCTGGGATTATAAAAGTATTTCTGATTCTGATTCCTGGTTGATGGGACAGGTGTTGTGAATGAAATGGTGTCCAGCTTGAAAGAGCTTCTGTGTGTCGCTGAATGTGTGCATTGATGACTGAAAGACATCTTCTGCCTCCATTTATCTGTTTACATCAGTGTGTTGAATTCATGTTAATATGTATTTAAAGACATTTCAATTAGTGGAAAAAACGTTCACGACCCCCATGCAGTACCTCTGCGGACCCCTTAGGGGTCGCGGACCCCCTGTTGAAGACCTCTGCTCTATAGAGAACTCCTCAACCTTAAAAGTTTGAGTTTCACCTGATTTAATTTCATAAAGTCTTCTTTAAAGACGGGATATTATTGAAAAAATAATCAACAGATTTGCAAAAATCTTAATCGTTAAAAAATCTTTAGTTGTAGCTTTAATATATATCTTGTGTCTACTTGTTTCCCCTCTGCAGCGGAATAAAGGTACAAAAACTCATCAGGTTTGCTGTTTGTTTTTTTTTTTGCTTTCTTGTCACATTTAAAATGTATAATCTGGCGATGAAGACCAAACTAAACCGTCCCTATTTAAAACGTGATCGCTGCTTTTAAAAATAAAAATTGAAACCGTATTTTAAAGAATTCTGCATCCAAAATAAACAGGCCTGATTAATGCCTGACCTGTAAAATCGACTTTTCGATTTGACGTGACATTGGTTGCTAAACAAGATAATTAAAAACAATCAATCATGTCCCAAACTAAAGAACAGATGACATGAGTGTGGAAAGGCCTAGAAATATTTAACACTTCTAGGAAATCACAGAGAGCCTTTATTCACAAATGGAGGACAAACAGAGCGACTAGCCAATTAAGAACACATTAACTTACTGGATTTAACAAAATAACTAACATCTCAAGCACTGCAGACCTCACTTTCATTAGTTAATCTCACTGTTTCGGATGAAACAATAAGAAATAGGTTGGAATAAAGAAGCATCCATGAGAGTTAACTACAGTTCAGTCTAGTTTAAGGGAAGGCATCCTCTGTTCTGGAGTGCCACCATCACACAGCTGTTGCGTGCGTCTCTGCTCCAACACACCTTAAAAAAAAAGTCTAAATAACCTCCTCAGCATGTTAGCAGGTTTAACAGAGGCCTGGCAGTTAACTGTTTGTTTATGGTGTTTTGGAGCACAGATATAAAGCTGCCAGATGGTGGCAGTGTGATGGTCTGGGAATACTTAACGGCTTCAGGACTTGGATGAATTTGCTCTGCCAGGAATTCTTGAAGAAAGTCCAGCTATTCGTTTATATCTAAACCCAAAACAGTTTTTTTCTTCTTATAAAACGTGTTCATTGATGTCTTGTAGTCCTGTCGATATGCATATTTGTTGCAATCCTTGTTTGTGTCTTAAATTCTCTTTGGCACCCTCTTCAGGTTTAAAAAGGTTACAGACGGTAGTTTTAACAGTTTGATCAACATAAACTCAGAAACGGTCCGATTCCTGAGGAAGCTCAGAAGAGCAGGCGGCTTTAAACAGTGTGGAATTAAACGGGCTGCCCATTATGAAAGATATTACATGCTGCTGAAGAAGAGGGTGCAAAGACTAGTTAAGTTTAGAAAAGAGCAGTTACTTTTTTATGAAGGGTCAGGTCACTGATCTTTAGCTATTCTCTGAATTGCTGATGGACCAAAAAAACTGAAGTCACCTGCCACCATCTTGGTTTTTCCCCACTTTCACAGTCGTTACATAAAAATGCCTGTAATGTAATTACTATAACAATGTAATCAGTGTATTACATGTACATCATCAATTTAGTATTTTTGGAACATCATCAGATTGTGCGTGTGTGTATTATTCTTAATGTCTTGCTTTAGTACTATTATGCTCCATTAACACACTTATTTAGTTGTGATGGATTTGTATATGCTATATTACATGATTTATAGACTTCATACTGACTATGCAATGTGATGTTCCTATTTTTTACCTTAAATGACAGTATTCTACTGAAGCTTTGAAGCAGCAAGTGTGTGTCAAAGTGATGACTTTATCTTTGTTTTACAATTCTTAAGCCCCTAAAAAAAATGAACATCATCTTCTTTGATGCTGTAGCGCCCATATTTTTAATATTCTGACTGGTCTAACTAGGGAGTACCAATATGGCGGCTGGTGACTTCATAACAACTGGCAATCCAGTGAATAAATAGAGATTGGGTCAGGTTGGTTTGGATTTTGTTTTTCTAAACAAAAGCAAACTAAATTTCTTAATCACTTAGGTTATCTCAATGATAGATTATGTGTTGATAACCTGAGGGATGTGACTTCAAAACAAAAATAGCAGAAATCCTTAATCAATTATTTGCAGAAATAGGTTCAGATATTTTGTCGGTCAAAGAAAAAAAGAAAAAGGATCCATGTTGAAAATAGAAAATGAAAATACCACAATCATTTCAAACTTCAATGTTTTTTTATTATTTGTACATTCACCACTGATAGGCGTACTTAAAGAATTAAAAACAAAATGAAATCTTTGTACTAAAATGATAAAATAACGATTTAAAAAACAAAGTTAAAACCATTGGTGGGAAACGTATAATGCACTCTCCTCTCTGGTGGGTGGGTGGGGTGGGGGGGACCTGCGTTGACAGGTCAGGTTAAGAGAATCGGATTGAGGAGAGAAAGATGAAAGCAGGATCAACAAGGACAAAATCAAAACTCGAGTTAGTTGTGACATATTCTCTCCCACAGAGAACTTTCTCATCTCTTAACAGAGAAACAGGAACACTGCATTGTCTTAGTAGTTTTTACAATAAGTGAAAAATAATCCAGAGCTGCCTTATTTAAAGACTTGATTTTGCAGATATTTTAAGTCTGTACAAAATGCCAAACATGGATTTCTATATTTTTTTTTTTAATTCCTGCAAGCCTCTGCGCAGACAAATAAATTTTCTCTTTAGGCAGGACTGGCAGAAGTAGCTTAGTACTACATGCAGCAACAAAAGAGGTTCTCAGCACATCGCAGGATGCTCACCTCCCAGAGGAGTCAACCACTGCTAAAAATTATGATCAGCATCTACACTTTGAAGAGAAAGTGGATTTTGTAGTAGTTTTAAACTGTCCAGTGTGCCTTTCTGCTACGCAATCAGAACAAAAACTGAAAGAGAAGACGGGAAAAGGCATGAAGAAAATGGCTGGGACACTCTGGAAAACAACACTGCAATCATCGTGTTCTCCGTACGCATGACGGTCGGCACAGATGTGCTTTAAAAAATAAGGGGGGGGGGCCTTTATGAGAGATGGAAATGACATCAGTTGGTCCTCTGTTGGGTCTTTGTTGTAACAAAGTACATGTAGTGAAAGGCAAAATGCAGGAGGATGGACTCCATGACAGTTCCATCAGCGCCTCCTTTCTCTTGGTTCGCTCCGGCTGCGGGAGCGCCGGCTGGATCCCGCTCCGCTGCCCCCTGGCCTACGGTACCCTTCCCTGCGTTTGTCGTTCTCCCTGTTCCTGTCTCTGTCCCTTTCCCTGTCTCTACCCCGGTCTCTGTCCCTCTCCCGGCCCTTGTCCTTCTCACCCTCACTCCGGTTTTCTGCCGAGGCGGCGGCTGCTTTCGTTCTCTCCTTGCGCTCCTCCTCCCTTTTCTTCTCCTCCTCCTCTTCTTCCTGTTTTCTTCTCTTCTCGCGTTCTTTCCTCCGCTCCTCGCGCTCTTTCGTCTCTTTTGCTCGGGCAGCTTCTCGCTGCACAAACTAAATGAGGAAATAAAAAAACATTTAGCTGTGTATCTCCGCAGAATTGTGAAACAAACCAATAACTTTCAAAGGTATTGACACCAATTTTTTAAATACTCCTGCAGGCATTTGCATGAGTTTTGGTACAAGCATGTCATCACTTTAAGAAAAATATTTTTGTCTGTTATCTTAATACATTTAGCAAAAGCCTGAGTCTTTAATGGGGGGACCATTTTACTTCCTTTTAAACATATCAGGTAGATCTTCAGCCTACAAAACATCACTTCCTCAGCTCAGCCTATTTGAAGCTCCTTGCAGAATGAATCCTTTTAGGGTCTGAGTTCTGTGTTTTTACAAAGTGCTGGTTTGGGTTAAATACTTCTAACTAGCATTTTGGCTAATTTTAGATAAGAAGAATATGAAAAAAAAAAAACAAACAAAAAAAACTAATTACTTAAAGCTCCAGCATCCTGATGGAATTTTAGTTTTATCATGCTGGCTGTTAGTCGTCTGTCCTGTCAGCTGTAGTTCAGTGTTTGTGAATAACAGGTGTTCATTCCAATATTAAATAGTAATGCATTATATTTTTGCATGTATGCTACCGTTTTTTTTTTTTTTTTACTTAGGGAACTAGGAGAGGGGCAGTGCAGATCTTGATTCCATAATCCTAACATGAAAAAAAGAAAATGTTTTCTAGACAACAACAAAACATATACTTATTAGCCCCTTTTCCACTGCCGCTCAAAAGCTAATTATGCTTTTTCATACGGAATCACCCAACTAATTTGCGTTACCCATGCTTTCCTTTCAGGGGGCTTTAGTCATTTTGTATACACTCTGTTTATACAAAATGACAATAAAATTAGTCCAAGTCCCTCGAGCAATCCAGTAGTTTGCTCTGATTAATGAGTCGTGCAAGGATGTGATCATCCTGCCATCTTTTAAAATGTGTTTTTTTTTATACCGCCAACACACACACAGCTTTTGCAGTTGTGTTCTTTACCGCTGTCTAATTTCTTAAATACATGATGAAGCAGAAGAGTAGAAGCAATGACTGTAGGACGGATATTGAGCTCAAGGCTCTTTTAAGCGTTTTTGCTGAAGAGGTCATTTAGCAGGAGTTTGAGTCGACGATGCGCAATGAACGCATCTACGCCACTTGAGCCAGACCGTCTGAAATAAACGTTCTGCACACCACAAAACAGGTGTGCGACAAACTCAAGAAAATGAACAGAACTACATGAGGCTGAAGGACCACAACATCCTCAGCGGATTAGACATGGTATGACCAGCTGGATGTGCTCCTATGAAACAGACCCATGTACACCCTCAAACATGTGGTCTTTATGTTTTTTTGGCAACCATTTTGCTATGGGGATTTGCATGATTGTCCCGAACACTTTCAGAGTTATGAAAAAAAGCGAGATGATAAATTAATCGAGATTTCAATTAGCCAGGTTATAAAAAGCCCGGGGTTTTCAATGGAAAAGAGGAACTTGCTTAAAAAAAAAAAAAAAAAAAAAAAGTAGAGGCGTAAATGGAAGAAAATAACACGTAAAAAGGTCCTGTTTAAATAGCTGAGTAGAAGTCGGTGAGCGGTTTTGTCCTCACCTGTTCCTCTGTGAGAGGAAGCCAGTAAATGCAGGGAACGGCTTTAGTTTTGCGGAACAGGTCATCCAGCAGCTTTGCGGGGGGATCTTCGGCTGTTCCAAGAGAAAGACAAAATCATTTAACAAGAATGCTTTATTAAATACACTGCATGCAGATTTAAATCTAGCTAAGGTTGGACAGTAAGAGATTCTGTCCTTACATTCATTGATTGACAGAGAAAAGTCGTCAAAATTAAGTAAAACTCAGAGATTAAATGTAATCTTTTTTTTATTAATGGATATATCCAAAGAGAGATTGCAAAAAAAAAAAAATAAGCATCCTTCAGAAGCAGATTGAGCATGCTTTAGTTACCTCATCTGCTTTAACTATACACCTAGTCATACTCCTGAATCTGCCTTCACAAAACTCTAAGCTAGAACAACTATATCAGTATCCTTTTACAGAAGCAGTTTGTTATTCTCTGCTTCTGCAGGTCAAACCAGCAGCTGAAGGAACTGTGTCTAATTTCAAGGCTGAATTCTTTCCCTCAAAATTGTATCAGAGTAGCGCGCTTCTTATAAAATTCAAAGTTTAGCAATTATTCTCAACAATAACACATTTGAAAGATACTTTGCAAAACAGTTATGATTACATATTTGTGATTCATTATGAACTATTATTGTTTTCCCAAAGTATCCTGTGTGATGTACAGCTTTTACCTTTCTTTTCCATCTTCTTCTCCTTGCTCTTTGCCCTCTCCTTTCGCCGTCTCTCTCTGGATTGTGATCTTCGTGAGCCTCCCTCCTTCTCACCTTCGGTTTTCCCAAACTCTTTAACCTTGTCTCGATCCCACTCCCGCTCTGCTCGGGCACGCTCCCTGCGCTCCATCTCACGCTCACGCTCGGCCCACTGGTCCCGCTCGGGGAGGAGAGGTGGCGGCCCTGATGTTCGTCCACGCACTGGGGCAGGTCCTGTGTCCTCTCCTGCAGGTCTGTCCACGGCCATCGAGGGGTTTCTCTGGTGGTCCAACTAAAAAAAGCAGATTGACACCATGCAGCTACCAATAACAAAGATGTCATGGTTTCAAACAAAAACATAAAAGAACCGGCACATACCTCCTCCTGCTGGCAGAAGTCTACTCTAAGAAACTTTGGGTTGCTCTGAGGCCATTTCACTCCATGAAGAGCTGCCTGTGTAGCGACTGCCTCTTCAATAGTAGAGTACTACAAAAAGAAAGATTCAGATAGCAAAACTTTAATAGATCATCACTATAAACATAATCATGGACAAAAGAAACTAACATAACTAATAACTTACAGTAACATAGCAGTGGGATTTGATTTTATTTATCCAGAAGCCATCCTCCACCAGGGTGCCAGTTCTGCTTAGCAGTTCCTTCAGCTGTCCCAGTGTGAACGGCCTCACCTAAAAAAAACATCACAACTCGATTATGGAGAGCAGGAAACAAGAGGAAAAATACAACAATATGCAAAAAAAAAAAAACTGTTACTAAACGCCATTGTTGGAGTATCTATGCATTTCTTGGCTGAGTAAACAAACATTCAGAGAAGCAAACGGTTATTTATAAAAACAACAGAGGTACGAGGTGGTGCTTCACCGGTAATCCTCCTGAGTGAAACATGCAGAGAATGGAACATGCTTTCTGGTCAGAGTAACTACCAAACAGGAAAGGCAGCGGGGGAAAGGGTATAAAGTAGTTAAGTTAAAAGCTATTTTACACCTTTTTTTTAAACTGCTTTCTTTTCTGTTATACATTTAATCTGAATGAATGTTTCCTGCTGGCAGTACGTGTTTCACTTAGGAAGATCATTTTTGGCAAAAACCTCCAAGTGTATAATTAATACAGCTTCTGTAACACAACCTTTGATGCAAAGATAACTTGGTTTAAAAGTTGGTAAAACCGTTTTCTCACAATCCTAAAATGGCAAAAAAAAAATTATGTTAAAGAGGGTAGCGTCTACTTCATTCTTGTTCCTTCTAGTACAGCGGTTGCCAACTTGAAGTTGAATCCTATTAAAAGTATGATTTTAATCCCAAAAGAAACTCCTAATTTCCCTTAAGATTCCTTTAAACCTCCGTTTGCCATCTGAACCCAATTTAGCTCATAGACCTTAGGTCCAGTTAAAATCCTGCAGAAGAATTTTTTTTCCAATACGTTTGGTTTTATTTACTTATTCAAAAAACAGTAGTTTAAAATTTAAATATTCATCGATGGGAATTCTAAGTAAAGGTCATTAATTGTTTAAAAATATTTTTTTTTCAGTTATTTTTCCATATTTACCTAAAACTGAACCATAATCTAACTTCATACATATCAGGACTTCACAGACCCGCTGATTTCTTCATTATGACACAGCAGACCAATATCACCCAGATGTTCTCACCAGGTTCCAGATGTGAACAATGTTGGAGGCTTGGCCTCGCGGTGGTGATGGCTGCGTCGCTGTGCGGACAGGGTCATCGATAGTGATGGAGACACCCGTTTTCTGCTGGCTGATGGAGCGTCGAATGAGGGTGTCGCTGGGTGTCACTAGTATTTTTTTTAAAAGACAGAGAAACTTTAGGTGACAATTATTTAAAAAAAGTTAGCTTTAATATTTAAGATGAATAAAACAGTAAACAAAATCCCTGCGTTCAACTTTAGAAAATGGTTTGTCAAACCTTTTTTATTATTACATTTATCCTAACAGTGTAAAAATCGAACAATGAAGTTATGATTATTGATTTCAGGCCCATTGTTGTGACCATATTACCAGTGTTGCTTTCGGTATCTTGGCTTGGTAGTGTTGGTGACTGAGTTTCCACAGCTGCTGGGAGAGAGGTGTCCATCTGCTCCTCATGGGCTGTGATACTTCCCCCTTCTACCTGAGAATCATCTTCCTCAAAGTCTTCCCGCCTTATTCTCTTTGCTTCTTTTTGGCCATTTTCTTGGCTTTCAGCGGGCACCACCTGCAAAGAGAAGAGAAAGTGAAGGTTTGAATGGCAAAACAAAGGGATTTAATACTACTCCCCCCTTTAAATGAGCATCTAAGGAGTTTGATCTTGATGATCTGACAGCACAGATCATGTTTTGGGGTGTACTTTCTCACTTAAAAAACATTAAAACTATTTTTGACCAACTTATCACCCCAAGTATAGCAAAGCCACTCTCCCATTGAAGACAGGAGCAGCAGAAGCATCAGATGCATCTCTACAGATGATACTGGATGTGTCTCAAGAGCATCTTCAAAACTTTATGTGCAGAAGCATCAAAGATGAAGCAGCAGATGCTTCTTTGCTGCTCAAATTGCATGAACCTAGCATAAAAGCAGCAGGATCACCTGTGTGACGGTGCGTCGGATCTGAAGGTCCTGGTCAGAGCGCTCCCGCTCTTCCTCCTCGGTACCGGACAGAGCAGCTTCCTCAGGATGAAGATCTACAACAGCATCCTGACCGACAGGCGGCCTGATGTCAGGAATCAGGGACTAGAATGAGGAAAGAAAAAAAAATAAAAATAAAAGGAGAAACACAGGAACTGGTGTTTAGTTTCTGAGCACAGAGGCAACATTTGGAACAGTAGAACGTTTGTAGCTACAGTTTCTATTTTTTAAACATTTAATATTCTTTAGTGGGACTTCATGATGGGCTGTAATGTGGCACAGTTTGTAGCACTGTTGCCTTGCAGCAAGAAGGTTCTGGGTTCTATTCCCAGCCCGGGATCTTTCTGCATGGAGTTTGAATATTCTCTTTGTGCATGCGTGGGTTCTCTCCAGTTACTCCGGCTTCCTCCCACAGTCTAAAAACATGTTAGGTTAATTGTCTTATGTAAATTGTCCTTAGCTTAGAAAGGACTAAAAACTTTCCTTTTTAGAAATTCCTACAATTGTTGATTTTAGATTTTTTTTAATAGGCTACGTATGCCTTTTAATGTATTGATTTTAATGACTGTCTTTTTACTCTGTTTTTAATGTTATGGTCTTTTAAACTTGTTTTGTAGCACTTTGAGATTTGAAATCAAATGTAAAGTGCATTATAAATAAAATTCATTATTGTTATTATTATTAGCTGTGAGTGTGTGTGTGTGTGTGTGTGGTTATATGTCTTTGTGTGTCTCCATGTTGCCCTGTAACAGACTGGTCACCTCTACAGGGTGTACCCTGCTTCTCACCCATAGACTGCCGGACATAAGCACTGGCTCCACTGTGACCCTAACGGAATACGTGGGAGGAGATGAATGGATGGATGGGACTTCATGATGTAGTAATTGTAAAATTATTTGAAGCAATACCTGGTGCTTTTACAACCAGTACCCCTTTTGCTCATTGAAAGACGGATAAGTGTTTAGGGGTATGTCTCTTATAGCTGTTAACATCTAGAGCCTAAAAAGTCCAAAGTCCTAAAAAGAAGTCCCAGCTCAGTACTTAAAGCCACTGACTGTGTTTATTCCAGATAGTACCTTTAATGTAGCTCCATCCATCTTTGAATCTCTTCCTCTCAGCTTCCCTGTCTCCAGCAATCCCCATATTATTATGCTACCACTACCATGTTTTAAACTACTTTTTAAATATATATCACTATAATGTTTTGATTTAGACCAATAAATGGGCCAAAAGTCTCACAGCTATCTTCTGACTAACCTCCCATGTTTCAAAAGTTAACAACTAACATCCAGCCTGTAAAACATTCAGCCTGAACTGTGAATCTCTGCAGTTTTGGTTTCCATGATGCTGTTTCATCAACAATGTTCCCTAACAAACCTCTGAGGCCTTTAAAAAACAGATGAATTTATGCATAGATTATATTATCCATAGGTGGAAAAGAAAAAAAAAGAAAGAAAGAAAAGCATGAGTCTTCTACCTTACACTTATTTGCTTTGTGTTGGACACATATTATGTAATAAACGTTTGCAGTTCAAATTGACAAAACAAGAAAAAGTTAAAAGGCAAATGGGAACTTTTACAATTATTCATAGAAGTTTTCAAAAAAAATCTACTGGTCAGGATAAAGTATATTAAAAAGTAATTTGTATCTTAAGCTGGTGTAAATACCTTGAGTGACTCGGTGGTGATACTAATGGAGGGTTTTTTGGCAGTGACGGCTGTGCTGGAGCCCCACCTCCTTTTGCGACCTGCCCCGGCCCCAGACTCGTGCTCGGCCTCCGTGCTGCCTGGTGACGGCTTACTGCCTGGTAATTCCAAGCATACAGAATGAATACATTTGATACTGAACCTATTGCTGTTTGAAGAGGAAGAGCTTAAACGTTCAGGAATGTACTTACTGCTAAGAGAGATCTTTCGTGAGGAGAAAGCCTTTGGTATCTGAAAAAAGATGAACAATTTGGAAAGATGAAAATCAGTCAGAGTAAGTGGAGAGCAGAGACAAAGGTGATGAAGCAATAACTGAAAGCTACAAAACTGACAGAAAGGCTGCAAACTGATGGACATCCGTTTCTTTAAAAACTCAATAGACAATAAACAGAAGCTAAAAGTTTCCATTTACAAGACCAGTGATTCATTACCAATGTGTCTGAACAGCAGTTTTTAAAAAAAGTTTATCAATGATTCAGAAGAACTGTTTTTACATCTGAGTCTCTCACCAACATTATAATAACATTTATAGAAAGAGCCACTTGATATTTCTAAGCAAAGGTTACAGCCCAAGCACCGCTGCATGTTTTGTACGAAAGCAACGAGGGTCCAATCACTGGGTGGTGACATGATCGGACTAAGGTCTAAGAGCAATAGCCAGATGTTTTGGCTCAAGGCGCTGAAATGAGTTTTGGCACAAGTCCATTAGAGGTTTCACACTCTAACCAAATAGACGAAAGAAAGAACCTATAAGATCAAAACCAGACACGTTTTTAACAGTCACTTTGCTCTTGAATCCACAAGATTGAGTTAAATGTTGTCTGCAGCCACATAAAAAAGCAGGTCTCTCTTTAGTCCACATGAAGAAAACATAAGTCGAGCTTCATGCAATCTAGAGAAACATTAACTGTAGTTTTAAAGATTAATCTAAATCCTTGTATCCCATTAAGCAGGTAGCGGTTCATAAAACAGAGTCTGCTGCAAAACTGTCTTAAAGAGACATTGTTGCCTGTGTTTGTTAGACAGTAAAATCAAAGGGCCGAAAATAAAACTGAAACCATCATGAGGCTACAACCCACCTTGTTTAACTACAATATCAGCCAAGTTATCGGACCGCTGCTGATACGCTTAAAATAACCAACACTGGCCAACACAGCATTAATGCAGATATGCAGTGCGTCACTATTCAGAAGCATTGTATTGATATAAATAAATCAATGAATTAAACAGATTAATTTAAAAACTATATTAACGACAGAGAAATCCAAACCCATAATTTATTGAGGCTTTATATTGGTACATGTCTTTTCCATCAAACATAGTTTAGGACTTATCTGGCAGCTTACCTCCTCACTGGACTCTGAATGCTTCTCTGGATCTGTAGTGGGAGCCTCTGTCTCCTGCCTATGTAGGATTAAAAACACAACTCCAATGTTTACCATGTAGATAGTTGTGGATTTCTTTATAACTTTCTACATTAACCACATCCAACATGTAAAAATGATTTAAGTCTAGAACTATAATTATATCCACTCCTTTCCAGACCTAAAAAAAAATGTAAAGGTGCATCAGCTTGTTGTATCTGATTCACCTAAAAGCAACCAGTGTTACAGATCAAGGTTGCACAGATAAACATCAACGTCAATGTGGAAACAACTAATGTGATGTTTAGGAACACCAAAGCAGCAAAACAGACCCCTCTGGTTCTTTTTCTTCTTCTTTCTCGCTGTGTTTTCTCTTCCTGTTTGCTTCCTCTTTTCTTGTTTCCTCAGCAGCTTGTTTCTGGTCATCAAAAAAAGGAAAAAAAATTAAAAACAGGAAAACAGTTGCACATTGAAAGTTTAAGCCTCCTAAATGAGAATGTTAAATGTTTCAACCTGATTCAAGATGCGTGACAGAAAGCCATTTCAAATTATAAATCAAATTATTGGCATAAAATACGCAAATGTTTTAAAGCCAATAAGATATTAATAAAAATACAAATAAGACTTTGGTATTTTTCTTGTATTTCAAGCCTATAACACAATGAGCACTTTTGGAAGTGGTTGGGCTCTCAAGCTATACAAAATAAATATAATT